AGTAAATAAATAAATAAAGTTAAATAAAATAATTTTTAAAAATTTGGGAGTCGGCAGGTGGCATGGTGATTGAGGGAGTTGGACTCCTACATGGTTGACCATGGTTTGAGTCCTGGGCCTGGCGATTTGCTCCCACTTTTCCTCTCTCTCTCTCTCTCTCTCTCTCTCTGTCCCTCTCTGGTAAATGTAAACAAACAAATAAATAAAGTTAAATACAATATATTTTTTTTTTAAGTAAAAGAAATTTAAATATGCAGGAGAGGTCGACAGGGGGCGGTGCTGAATGGTGTGGCACCCTTACGTGTGAGGCCCGGAGCATTGTAGGACTTGTAGTTTTTCTCGCAGAACTTCCACCTCGGGAACTACATTTCCCCAAATGCAATGTCACCGGCCATCCCCGCCGTCGGGTGTGAGGTGTCCTTTAGACTGTGAAAGGTAAGCATGTGTTGTACGGGTTGCAGGTTCCTAGGAGCTGCGAATTTCTTGTAAGGGACTCCAGTCCTCCTTTTGCCCCTGGCGGAACCAGGAGAGAGCATTGTTCCGGGGGGCCTGTGTTCAGGGGATTTGCTTGGCCCCTTGGTTTAGGAAACCCCACTGTGTACTTGTTTAGCTGTTCATGTGTCGCTGTGGAATGTCAAGGAGAGAGCTGCGTCCTGATCTCAGGGTCGAAGGCCGAGCCTAAAATAATGTTTACATATGGGTGCGTGTTGGCAGAGAATTTCTGCAGTGCATCAAGTGATAAAGCAAAGCTCTGTTTCTACAGCTAGGGAAGGTGACACGCAGAAGTCTTGTCTCTCTGCTGTGTCCAAGCAGCGGAGTGTACAATGGAAGGGAAACTAAAATAATATAGAGAAAATGAAAGAACAAAAGGGTGTGTGTGTGTGTGTGTGTGTGTGTGTGTGTGTGTACATGCGCACACCCTTAATTATGTGATTAAAATGAAAAGCTTGAGAGGTTTAAGCAACAACTTCATCAAAATCTAGCATACTAGAACTCAGATGTGCTTCTCTTAGCTTACAGAGAAATAAGATCATTCATTTTTTAAAGAGTTATTTATTCAGTTTTCTTTATTCATTTATTTACTTTAATTTGACCAGAGAAAGACAAGCACACAGAGAGAAAGCAAATGAGAAAACAAACCACCAAGTCCAGAACTCAGACTGTGGTTGGCCATGTGGGAGTGTCCAGCACCTTAACTACCACACCATCTGCAGGCTCCCAAAATCATTCTTTTTTTTTTTTTTTTTGAGAGGTTTTTGCTATAGGACACGTGCGCTCGCCAGACAGAGACAGAGAGAGAGACAGAAAGCGAGAAATCACCCCCCAGGGGGGATGGTCACGCCGCAATCCCTTCTCCTCCATTCTCCTCTCGGGATCTTGGGCAGGCACGCACATGCGCCCGGCGTGAGTTTTAAGCCACCGGGTCCAGGACGCGAACCGTGGTCAACTACATGGGAGTCCAGCCATTATGCTAACTGCTGGTTCCCCCAAATAAAATAATTCTTAAAAAAAAAGTTTATTTCTTCTATGAAAGAGAGCTGAGCATCCCCACATGTTCTATTTTTTTTTCCCCTGTAAAGTATATTTATTCCATAAGTGAGAAAGAGAGAACAAGAGAGAGCAGCCCCTGACAGGATCCCAGTACTGCAATCTACCCCAGCTCCAGCCAGCCCAAACCACAGACACATGGTGCCTGGCATACCCAGGGAGGTCCTCAGAGGCAAACCAGCAGCCCTCCCACGGGGGCCCCAGCAGAGCACCTCTACCATTGTGCTCTGTCCAGCCCTGGAGAAACAGAATCATTCTAATTTATAAAATAGGAAGTAGGTTTATGGAACACATAGCTCCCTGAGTGATAGTATGAACTAAAAATATGAATTTATTCCGCTTATAGAGACTTCTTGAGGTGTCGTCATAGACAAGCAGTAACAGGCTGTGAATGGACTCAAGGGTGCATTCACCTTTTGCAGTTTATAAAGAATTCAGTTCTGATCAAAATGCGGTTTCCCTCACTCAGATGTGAGAAACCTTGGCAGATTTGTCAGCCATATAAAGTTAATTTTGAGGCTTGGAGCATATTAGAAATCTAGGTTAGGGGGTTTTTGTTGTCATGTTTATTTATTTATTTTCTGAGACATTTTTGCTATAGGGCGCATGTGCTTGCTGGAGAGACAGAGAGACAGAAAGCGAGAAATCACCCTCCAGGACAGAGGCCTCACTGCAGTCCCTTCTCCTCCATTCTCCTCTTGGGATCTTGGGCTGCATGCACATGTGCCCAGCATGAGTTTCAAGCTGCCAGGTCCAGGACTCAAACCACAGTTGACAATTTACACCATCTGCTGGTCCCCTGCTTTAGGTTTTTAAGAGGCCAGGAAGGTAAGATTACCTTAGGCTGGGGGGCTGGAAGGTGGCATGGCTGTAAAATGTGATGATAAGGGGTCGGCAGGTGGCATGATGGTTGGGGCACTAGATTCCCATGTGGTTGGTCATGGTTTCAAGTCCCAGACCCAGCAAGTTGAAAATCACACCAGGCACATACATGTTCAAAATCTTGAGAGTAGTGGACCAGCAGTTGGTGAATGGCTACGTCACTGGACTCCCATGTAGTTGACCGTAGTTCAAGTCCTGGGCCCGGTGGCTTAAACTCATGCTGGGCACATGTGTGTGCATGTCCAAGATCCCAAGAGGAGAATGGAGGAGAAGGGATTGCAGCACGGTCATCCACCCCACGCCCCGGGGGTGATTTCTCACTTTCTGTCTCTCTGTCTTTCTGGTGAGCGCACGTGCCCTATAGCATAAACCTCTCCAAAAAAAAAGTCATTAAAAAAAATCTCAAGAGTAGGATGGAAGAGAAGGGACTGTGGTGTGGCCATCCCCACTGGGGTACATTTGTTTAAGAATAATTTTATTTCATTCATTATCATCATTATTATTTGATTAATCTGACCAGAGAGAGAGAGAGAGAGAATGGGAAAGTAAGAAAGCATGTCTCCAGGTCCAGAACTTGAACCATGGTCAGCCGCGTGGGAGTCCAGTGCCTTAGCAACCATGCCACCTGTTGGCACCTCAGCACACTTTCTAATAGCTATCCTTATCTTCCATAAAACACTATGATATGCCTTTCTTAATATTTTAAAATCTATTTTTATTTTTTGAAATTTACTTGAGGATGTGTGTGCTCTCCAGAGAGAGAGAGAAAAACACCCCCTAGAGGGCCACAGTTAGGTCATAATCCCTTCTCTAGTTTTCTACATGTCAGAATTGGGAGTATGGACACATATATCCTCTTTATGTCTTTCAAGCTCCCAGTGCTGGGATTCAAACCCCAAAATTGGCCATGTGAGATCTGGCTTCCTTTTAGGCCAAGGGGCCGGCTGTCTTGTCTACTTTCTTTGTTTTTTTAGTTTTTTGCTTTTGCATTCCCAGAAGGGAGACAGAGGAAAAGTGAGAACTCACCCCCAATGGATCATCACCACACCAAAATTCCTTCTCCATTCTACTCTTGGGATTTTGCGCATGTACATGCACAGGGGCCCTATAGCAAAAACTACAGATGATGGGGCCAAGCAGGTAGCGTAATGGGTAAGGCGCTGGACTCCCACAGGGCCGACTTCAGTTTGAGCCCCAGACCTGGAGGCTGGCTTTCTCACTTTCCCTTTCTCTTTTTCTGGTCAAATTAAAAAAAATAATACTAATAACAAATGGACTTAAATAAATAAATAATTCTTTAAAAACCAAAACAAAACAAAAACAGCTATAGGTGAGTTTCAAGCTGCCAGGCCCAAGACTTGAACCTCAGTTGGCCTTGTGGGAGTCTAGTGCCTTAACCACCACACTACCTGCTGCCTCCCTAAATCTTTGCTTTTGAACACTATTTCTCACAAGAACATTTCTTTTTCTGGGGCCAGCAGGTGGCGTAGTGGTTAAGGGCTCTGGACTTCCACATGGCTGACCACGGTTTGAGTCCCAGACCTGGCAGCTTGCTTTCTCACTTTATCTCTCTGTCTCTCTCTCTCTCCCTCTGTGTCCCTCTCTGGTC